TTGTCTTTGTTCAGTTCTGGTATTTGGGTAATGCTGACCTCAAATGTCAAGTTGGCAAGGGTTATAAAAATATTTTGTGTGAATGAGAATCTGAAATAAAAAGGAAGTCGCATGTTCACCTGTGAGCTAGAAATGAATTAATAGTTTTTTCCCCTTTGAATGTGCCAGGTTGTGCATTCTAGAATTTGTCATGGGCTCTGAAATAATGTAAGGCGATGGTGCTCTGGCAAGAGTTATACATAGATGAAAATAGAATCAGTAGAAAGTGAGGCTAAGTCACACCCACTGCTACATGAAGTAAACTTTGAGCAATTGGTTTAGACATAAAATTATTCACCCTGTTCCAACTTTGTACAAAGCCTTTTTTTAAAAAACAATTGCTTTTCTGATAACATTAAGAGGAAAACCTTAATGGCATGTGTAGTTTTAACAACTTTAAAAAGGTATTATTATAACAAAAAAGGTATACACTAGGTCAATTTTTTTTTTTTTTTTTTTTTTTTTTTTTTTTTTTGAGACAGAGTCTCACTCTGTCGCCCAGGCTGAAGTGCAGTGATGCAATCTCAGCTCACTGCAAGCTCTGCCTCCCAGGTTCACGCTATTCTCCTGCCTCAGCCTTCTGAGTAGCTGGGACTACAGGCACCGGCCACCATACCCAGCTAACGTTTTTGTATTTTTAGTAGAGACGGGGTTTCACCGTGTTAGCCAGGATGGTCTCCATCTCCTGACCTCGTGATCCGCCTGCCTCAGCCTCCCAAAGTGCTGGGATTACAGGCGTGAGCCACTGCACCTGGCACACTAGGCCAAATTTTTTAAAGCCTGTGTATAAGTTGGTGGACTCCTTACAGAGAAAAATTAATTTCCTAGATGTTACGTGTTGACTTTCATAATTTTTATTATGATGTTATTTGACATTTATAAACATACAACTGTAAGCTCTTATTCTTGGCTTTTACACAACTATGAAAACGACACACATAAATACGAACAGAACTTTGAAAACAATGAAATGCAGGCTAATAACATTAATTTAGTGTAAGAGATAATATTATTTTGCTGAAACTAAATTGGTGCTTACAGTTTGAATGCAGTGCTCGGCTTCTCCATGGGTCCTTTTGAGTTTGGCAGGCCTGTATTACTAGGGTGCCACGTATTGACACCATTCTTCAGGCATTTTTCTCCATTTGAACTGTTTGTTTTTATCTCACTGGCCACTTCCTGTAAGTATTCATCTAGCTCTGTGCCTCTGTTCTTTCCCTTTTGGCTAGAGATTATAAAGTGCCACTCAACATCAATACAAATGTAAGTGCAGGTAGTGAAATTGTGTACCAGTACCCAGCCTTAAAAGTCTGATCCAGAATATGGTCATCTTAATTTGTTTTAGATTATCATCAAAAATGCATAATTTAGAAATCTAGAGAACTGTTGACTTTCAATAATATAAATCACTGCTCTTGGGCTCAATAGCAAAATATTAGAAGTCTCAAAAGAGGAGAAGGCAAGGCCCAGAGGCCCTGGTGGCCCTGTCAGGGCACGTGGTGAATATTTCACTCCTGACTCCTGGGAGGCCTGAGTGTAGAAATAGAGGAGCCAGAGAGCAGACATAGAAAGAGCGAGATGGAGAAACAGTACCAGGTGTGCTTGTTAAAGCCAGGATGGATGTGCAGCTGCCTGCTTCCTGTACTCCACACCCAAGAAGGGCTCCTGTCTTGCTCATTGCCTTCTACAGCAAAATTCTTTTTTCTTTTATTATTATTATTATTATTTTTTATTATACTTCAAGTTCCAGGGTACATGTGCACAACGTGCAGGTTTGTTACATATGTATACATGTGCCATGTTGGTATGCTGCACCCATTAACTCGTCATTTACATTAGGTATATCTCCTAATGCTATCCCTCCCCCCTCCTCCCACCCCACAACAGGCTCCGGTGTGTGATGTTCCCCTTCCTGTGTCCAAGTGTTCTCATTGTTCAATTCCCACCTATGTGTGAGAACATGCGGTGTTTGGTTTCTTGTCCTTCTGATAGTTTGCCGAGAATGATGGTTTTCAGCTTCATCCATGTGCCTACAAAGGACATGAACTCATCCCTTTTTATGGCTGCATAGTATTCCATGGTGTATATGTGCCACATTTTCTTAATCCAGTCTATAATTGAGGGACATTCAGGTTGGTTCCAAGTCTTTGCTATTGTGAATAGTGCCCACAACAAACATACATGTGCATGTGTCTTTATAGCAGCATGATTTATAATCCTTTGGGTATATACCCAGTAATGGGATGGCTGGGTCAAATGGTATTTCTAGTTCTAGATCCTTAAGGAACCGCCACATTGTCTTCCACAATGGTTGAACTAGTTTACAGTCCCACCAACAGTGTAAAAGTGTTCCTATTTCTCCACATCCTCTCCAGCACCTCTTGTTTCCCGACTTTGTAATGATCCCCATTCTAACTGGTGTGAGATGGTATCTCATTGTGGTTTTGATTTGCATTTCTCTGATGGCCAGTGATGATGAGCATTTTTTCATGTGTCTGTTGGCTGCATAAATGTCTTCTTTTGAGAACTGTTTGTTCATATCTTTTGCCCACTTTTTGATGGGGTTGTTTGGTTTTTTCTTGTAAATTTGTTTGAGTTCTTTGTAGGTTCTGGATATTAGCCCTTTGTCAGATGAGTAGATTGCAAAAATTTTCTCCCATTCTGTAGGTTGCCTTTTCACTCTGATGGTAGTTTCTTTTGCTGTGCAGAAGCTCTTTAGTTTAATTAGATCCCATTTGTCAATTTTGGCTTTTGTTGCCATTGCTTTTGGTGTTTTAGACATGAAGTCCTTGCCCATGCCTATGTCCTGAATGGTATTGCCTAGGTTTTCTTCTAGGATTTTTATGGTTTTAGATCTAACATTTAAGGCTTTAATCCATCTTGAATTAAGTTTTGTGTCAGGTGTAAGGAAGGGATCCAGTTTCAGCTTTCCACATATGGCTAGCCAGTTTTCCCAGCACCATTTACTAAATAGAGAATCCTTTTCCCATTTACAGATGCTTGTAGATGTGTGGTATTATTTCTGAGGGCTCTGTTCTGTTCCATTGGTCTATATCTCTCTACAGCAAGTTTCTTGGACTCTGATGTCACAGGAAGACACATGAACCCGGAGCACAATAAAATATGACTCATGGTGCCAGGGTATCATGGTGTGATTTCAGATATTTACATATGGGTTTTCTGAAAGCAAGACACATCTTCAGTAGAACAGGGAGAGTTGTTTTCCTAAAATGTTGGACTTGCTTTGTGTGCCCTTTGTTTATTTATGTACAATTTTTTAAATTGTAGCAAGAACACTTTGCATGCAATCTACCCTCTTAACAGAGTTTTAAGTGTACAATACAATATTGATAATAATCGGCACAGTGTTGCAGAGCACGTCTCTAGAACTTATTCATCTTGCATGACTGAAACTTTATTCCCTTTGAAGAGCAACTCCCCATTTTTTTTTTCATTTTCTTCTCCAGCCCCTGGCAACCATCATTCCACTCTCTGCTTCTGTGAGTTTGACTATTTTAGATTCCTCCTATACGTGGAATCAGGCAGTATTTGTCCTTCTGTGACTGGTTTATTTTGCTTAGCATAATGTCCTCAAGGTTTATCCATGTTGTCACGCATTGCAGGATTTCCTTCTTTTTCTAAGGCTGAATAATATACCGTGTGCCCTTTAGACAGGCAGCAAATACACTGCTCTATCTTTCAGTCCCACCTAACCCAACTGTTCCTTGTCTCTTGTCAATTTTTTAGCCTTTTGTCATTTCCTAAATGCCTTCCTGGCCCCTATCAACTGGAGGCACATAAACAGAATGAAAGGCAGTCATAGAATCCATGGAGGGGCTGAGGCCTGAGGAGGAACTTGCTTGGGTATCTCATCCCACGGCTGCACAGTGCTGGTCCAACAGCTCCCTGCCCGCTCCAGAGAATTACTGCTACACTTCATCATCAGTACTCCATGGACTACCTTATACATTGTTTCTGGAAGGTTTTTCCATCACTTCCCTCTCCCTGCAGAAACATCCTTCTAACGGGGACAGGGTTGAATTCCTGTTGTCCGTTCATCCTTTAACCTCGCTATTGGGCTTGGCCTTGGCCTTGGCCTTGGCCTTGGCCTGCCTGCCCAGCACCGAATGGGCCCTGCCTCCACTATGCTTTTGCTGCAGACAGCAGAGGGCAGGCAGTGTAGACAGCATTGGCTTCTCTGGTGGTGTGAGTGTATAGGTTGTGAGTTTCCTGGAGCCCATTGAAATTCTATTCAAAATACAAGCTGAATTTTTCTAATCTAGAACCTTAGTACTCACAGAGCCCACGTGTTGTCTATGGTAAGTTAAGTGGTAATTGAGAGGTTTGCCAATTTTTATGTGATTTATTCTGGTTTTCTTTCAACATCCTGTGAACTAAAACTTAAATACAGCTTCGTTGTGGTTGCTTCTTCCTGTTTAGAGAATCTGGCATAATATTTTGTCTTCTGGGCTCAAATAACCATGTAATTACTCTGTAATCATATAGTAATTAGCATGTACTATATGCATTTATTACATAATTATATTCTTGGAGGATTGTATGGCAATTATACTTGCATTCAGCATATCATGAACAAGTATATAATTTGTTGTTTTTTTCTTTTATCCTCATTTCAGTTTACTAACCAGGGGCTGGAAGCTTATTCTCCTGTTGCCTCGTATGTACATAGCCAGGCAGGTGCCTCTGTTTTGGCCTCACCTAGCACCTCCTAATTCTACATCTGTGGGAATGTTAGGAGTTTTTGTGCTGCTATAGACTCCTAGTATTTGTACTCCTAGCTTTCTCTTGTCATGAAGTCATTAAGTTATTAGCTTCAAAACTCATTAAGTTCTAGAGCCACTGGCAATGCCAGATAAATGGCAAGATCTCAATTAAAACAGAGTAGGTGAGAACACAGAGCCAAGCACTGTGACCATGCCTGTCTTTCTCTGCATTTGCAGTGGAGCACATTCCCAAAGGGAACAACTGCCTGGATGCAGCCAAGGCCTGCAACCTCGACGACACTTGCAAGAAGTACAGATCAGCGTACATCACCCCGTGCACCACCAGCGTGTCCAACGATGTCTGCAACCGCCGCAAGTGCCACAAGGCCCTCCGGCAGTTCTTTGACAAGGTCCCGGCCAAGCACAGCTATGGAATGCTCTTCTGCTCCTGCCGGGACATCGCCTGCACAGAGCGGAGGCGACAGACCATCGTGCCTGTGTGCTCCTATGAAGAGAGGGAGAAGCCCAACTGTTTGAATTTGCAGGACTCCTGCAAGACGAATTACATCTGCAGGTAAGCGGGCACTGGCAGCCGGTGATTAATGAGGTGACAGGGAAAGTCTTGGTGGCTGCATTGGCTGCTAAACTCCCTTTTCTGTGCTTCTACCAAGGTAGAAGAGGGAGGGGAACCCAGTTCATTTGAACGAGCTGGCAAAAATCTGACCTCTGTGTCTGCCACGGAGTTCTTCAGAAGCTGCTCAGGCCTCTGTGCTGGCGAAAGTTCCCATCTTTAACCCGGGAATGCTTTGAGGGATGCTAGAATGAGGTAAAATACCACTGCCTTTCCTGGATACCTCTCAGGTGAGAGGGTCACCTGGGGGGCAGTGACCTCAAGGCACACACCTGCTCCTCAAGTCCTGAGGGCTGCCAGGGATTAAGTAAAGAGGAGCTGGCTGGAGCTTTGGAGGCTCTTGAGCTTCAGGGGCAGAAACCTGGAAGAGACCAGTGAGAGGGATTGAGCAGAGTCCAGCCTTGGGGTGAACTTTGAATGCCTGGGTCTGTTCTGGACTATTCTGTGGCTATGAAGAGGTCACCCTCCCACTTAGCTGATCTCCCAGATCTCAGCCTCCATCAGAAATTTGATAAGCCTGGACCATGTTGTTAAAAATATTCACTTCCTTTTGCTTTTTGGCCATTTCTGAATTTACTTTGATATCTGAAGGAGTCCATGAATACACTTTCTGTGTTTAAAAAACAAAAAACTGGCTGGGCGTGGTGGCTCACGCCTGAAATCTCAGCATTTTGGGAGGCTGAGATGGGTGGATCACCTGAGGTCAGGAGTTTGAGACCAGCCTGGCCAACATGGCGAAACCCTGTCCCTAGTAAAAATACAAAAAATTAGCCAGGCGTGGTGGCAGGCGCCTGTAATCCCAGCTACTTGGGAGGCTGAGACAGGAGAATCACTTGAGCCTGGGAGGTGGAGGTTGCAGTGAGGCAAGATGGCACCATTGTACTCCTGCCTGGGGGACAAGAGCGAAAATCTGTCTCAAAAGAAAAAAAAGAAAAACCACAGGCCTGGCACAGTGGCTTACACCTGTAATCCCAACGGTTTGGGAGGCTGAGGCAGGCAGATTGCTCGAGGTCAGGAGTTCGAGATCAGCCTGGCCCACATGCTGAAACCCTGCCTCTACCAAAAACACAAAAGCTAGCCAGGCGTGGTAGTACATGCCTTTGGTCCCAGCTACTCAGGAGGCTGAGGTAGGAGAATTTTTTGAACCTGGGAAGTGAAGGATGCAGTGAGCAGAGATCATGCCACTGCCCTGCAGCCTGGGTGAAAGAGTAGGACCTTGTCTCAAAACAAACAAATCAACAAACACAAACCACAAACACAGCAGTATAGATGTAGGTAGAGTGAAAAGAGAAAGTTACCCTTCACTCTGCTCCCATTCACCCCCAAGCTTCAGGCAGTCACTGTTAACCATTCCGTGTGTGTCCTCCCAGAACTTAGTGTTGAATTCAGTTGCTGATTGAAGCAAGTAGATTTGGGGTATCATATTGAAAAACAACTGTACTTTGTCCCCAGGTAGAAGCCCTCAATATATGCTAAGCCAGTGGACAAGCAGATGGGAGTATGACCATGTACTTGTTTCCTATTAGTTCCCCATTTCTAAAAAGCCAAGAGCAGGAAAAAAAAAAAAAAGTCTGCGATGTTGAAGATTCTGAGTTTCTGTTCAACTTAAGTTTTATTCCGGTAGAATGGGAACCCACTCTTTCCTTAAACCAGCTGTAATAATGACCAAAGAAAATTGTAAGTCCTCGTTATCTGTATAACCCTCTCATGCTGAAGACTTTCTGGGAGTAATGTTTCTCCTCCTTTCTAAAACAAGTTGGAAGCAAGTGACCTGCTCTATGAGGAAGGACTCGGATGACCAAGCATCTTATGAACTGAGTTTGCATCTTGGGAAGAAACAGGCGTTCCAGCAGCATAATACAAGGACGCTTCCTCACTTCCAAGCCCCTGGTTCATTAAGGCACTCTAGCTGTGGGCTAGAAGCAGGGATAGGTGTGCTAGAAGGGTCCTGAGAAAGAGGCAGATCCTCAGCAAGCCAGGAACCTGGGGAAGCCAATCAGTTAGGGTGTTGAAGCACCTTCTGCTGAAGATGAATAAAATGAATGCAGCCAAGAAGCTGCAGGGAGCTTTGCTCGGGGTCCAGGGATGGGATGGAGCAGAGATCCTGAAGATCTCTGGATGTGAAACCCCAATTCCTGGGGCCCCTTTAGTCTCTGAGCAGAAGGGATCCCCCTTCTGGGAGCAGGACTGGATTTCTAGGGTCTTACTTGGCTTAATGCTAGACAGCTCCTCTGTGTCTCTATAATAAGATGGGATCTTGTCCACTGATGGTTCCAAGCCAGGAGACCTGGGCTTTCGGTCCTGCCTCAAGATGGGAAGCTGTATAGGGCAGAAATGGAGCTGTGGATGAGTATTCCATCTATGGAATGATGGCTGGGAGGTGGGAGAGGTGGTGGTGATGGAGCTTTTCCTTCCTCTTCTCCCAGGTTTATCTTACACAAGATGGCCAGAGAAGGTCTGGAACCTCCCCTACACATATTGAGAAAGCCCATATTGAGCAGATAATTTGCATTCTCTGGCTTGTTCTTCTAAAAAGAGATAATCATTTGAGGGTTGGTGAGAATTCATTAGATCAAATTGCTTTCCTGCTAAGCTGTAGTGAGAATAGCTGGGAGTTGAGAACTTAGAGGGCTCTAGAGGAGGCGATAGGAGGAACCTGCAGATAACAGGATGGTTTAGGTGCCGTCTGGGGCCTCAGACTGAGGAAGGAACAAGTTCCAGGAACTGTTTGTGACATCCATGATAGCAGGGAGTGGACTCAGCTGACAGCACAGAAATGTACAACAGGAAGCAGACGGCCCTTGTCTGTGTATTGACTTTGCCTGATCTTCCTGGAGTGGACAGCAGCCACCATGCACTGGGGTGAAGGATCCCTAGGCTGGATGGTGGGACTAGAGGCGTGTTTGTGCTGCTGCCACATTTCTGGCTCTGGGAGAAACTCAGAGGCTGTTTAGGAATCCAGATCTAGACTGTCCTGGGGCCCTACCCAGTGAAATTTGTCTCAGTGTGATTGATGGGTTTTATACACTGTCTTGAGCCTTTCCTGGGAAGCTGAATCCATGACTTCCCTGGTGTTACCCATTGTCAAGTGATTTAGCCCATAATTTCTTTCTAGAGCCTGGATTTATTACTCATGATTACCCCCTCCCTGTCGGAGGTGCTAAATGTAATTTGTGCTGCTAGGTTGGCTAGCAGTGTTTGCTTCCATCACATTTTATTACTCTTGCCTTTAATTTTATGCCTTTTATCCCATCCCTTCTCAATCCATCTGTGTGAGGCCATTGCTGTTCTACCCAGAGTAGCAGCTGGTACTAGCTGGAGCTGGGGGTTCTTTGGGTCTCACATTATAGTTGCTATAACCCTAACCCCACCACTGATGTGATGACTTGAGGTCTCATTTGAATAGCCCCAAAGGGAAGGGATGGCAAGAGGGAAACTTGCTTCCTAAAAACCATATTCTTGGAAAGCTCACACTTTCAAATGCTCCATTTACATCTTAACATCAGCAACCATCAAAGAGCTGTTCAAGCTCATTAAAAGCTCCCTGAATTTAATATTTTCCAACTGAGGGCCTACAGGTTTCCTTCCCCAGGGTCCAACAGTGCCTCTGCACAGAACCCGTGTCTCTTCCGCCTTATGCCTTCAAACAGATGAGAAGCAACATTAGCTTTTCTGTTTGACTTTGTTTTCCTTTTTCCTTTTCCCTTTTAGGGAAGCTGACAGATTCCTTTCCCCTTGAGGTAGTTGGGGAGAGTCAGAGCCTGACTGTTTGGGCCTCCAAGCTTGTCTACAGAAAAGCAAATGCAGAGGTATTATTAGAAGGGTGAGATGGAATTTCAAAGCCTCAGTCTTCCCCCCAAGCAATGTCTCCCCTGCCAGGTTTCCTCTGGTTGCTTTTCTTAGTGCCTGGAAAGATATCAGGACTGGTTTGTCCGAATGGAAGCATAACCTTTTGTTCCTGATGCAAATCTGTATAATTTAAACTTATATCTTCCCTCCTGTCTAAGCACTGGCTCGGGTACCACAAATAAGTTCCTATCACTGTATTGTAATTAATCGTTCAAGTACCTCAGCTATTCTTCATTACCAGGCAGTCCAGCGCCTTCCTCCTGGGCAAGTTCCCTCATGTTTTCATCGAAGAACCACAGAGGTAGACTCCAAAATCCCTTCTGCTTCCAGTGTCAAGCAAAGAGGGAACCCAAGTCTGCTAAGCAGCCCGCTTGCCTGTGCCTTTAGCTGCTGCCACATGGTGTCGCTGTTGAGAAAAAACTCAGGGTATGCTTGGTGGTTTAGTGGCCTTTTCCTTCTGGGGCATTCAGCATGTGCGGCAGAGCTGCTGCATCCTTGGGCGCCTGAGTGACAACACCTAGTTTATACTCACGTATGCAGCCATTGTTTCCGAAGCATGACATTTTTGCTCTGGGGAGCTACGTTCTAAGGGGTTCCAATCAGAGCCAGCCCTCCACCTTGAACACCAGTAGCCCAGGCTCTACGTTTTCTGGCAGTGTGTTACTAGGTAGAATTGAATGCTTCTCTTTTTTCTTTTGTTTAATTATTATTTTTTAGAGACAGAGTCTCATTCTGTTACCCAGGCTGGAGTACAGTATTGCAGTCGAGGCTCTCTGTAGCCTCTAACTCCTGAGCTCTAGTAATCCCCTCATCTCAGCCTCCCATGTAGCTGGGACTACAGGTGCATGCTACCATGCCTGGCTAATTTATTTTAATTAATTAATTAATTAATTTTAGAGACAGGGTCTTGCTATGTTGCCCAGGCTGCTCTTGGGCTCCTGGCCTGGAGTGATCCTACTGCCTCAGCCTTCTGAGTAGCTGGAAATTGAATGTTACATTTGCATTCCTATCGCCAACAGTGCTGGGTTAAGGGTATCTCCCTCCTTTTAGAAAGATTCTGATAATGCTGAACCTCAAAAGGAAATGGGTCAGGG